AACCTAGCTTGTTACTTTCATGAACAAGCTAAAAGAAAGTACCATTTATCATTTAAGGGAGGTATATAACAATAAATCATAGACTAAAAATGCAACATATCATAACTCAAGCAATATTAAACAAGTCCTTCCCCCTTCACTAAAGAGTTAATGAAAAACTACCCACTCTTTAGAGTCATAGACAACTTAGAAAAGTGGGAGAAATTCATTGCTCCAAACAAGATTGGAATTATAATACAAAATAATAAAGAGTAAACAAAAGCTCCTAACTCTTCCCCAAGGTTGGATTGAAATGCCACCACTCAATCTATGTTTTCAAAACACAAAATTGTTTAGAAAATCTTTTCTTTTGAAATAACCTAGTAGCCATACACAGATTGCTTCTAATTCCATTTTCATCCTAATCATCCAAAATTAAAAGTAACTAAGGTTCATCTTAAGTGTCTAGGTCAATACCTTTGTCCTAAGTATGAAAGTGCATACGAATATTAAATGATGTTGATTTACTGCTTGATCTTATTCCTTTAATGACGATTTCGGATCTTCAAATTGATAGCATCATGACCATGAAAAATGTTGAGATTTACAATAGATTCAAGGAAATTGGCCAATTATAAAATGTGATATAATAATCTCCTCCTTTGGCAATTTCATTACAAAATACACAAGTAAGAAATTAAGATTATAACCCACAAACTATTGAACAAAATGAACTGTAAATCTAATATGAACTCTCATGTACATGTCCTAAATCTCATAGTACCAGATCTACTTCTTTAGATAAAGCTTGAAGATCGTAGTCCTAATCACTCAAACCAAAACCTCGTGAAAAATATCATAGGTTAGAGAAATACATAACATAATCATAGGTTTGAAAAACACCAAGTTAAGCATAGGCATAAGTATGTATAAATCATGCAAGTGAAAATATGTAACATGTTAGGAACTAATTTGTCTAATATGCTTGAGAATCTATTGATCTATCAATATAAAAAACTACAAGTTATCCCCCTTATTTAGTTTTCACAAGTAAAATAACAAGTAAAAAATAAGCAATTATATGATAGGTGACTTCATGCCAAGTTTGTAAATTTACTCTCCCTGAGTATTTGAACAAACTCTTTTTTATTTTCTCATGCAATATGTCTAGCCTAATCAAGAATAAATCTCCTCGATTCCTCTCATATATAACTAAGATATTCTCCCCATTTTTGTCGCAAATGCCAATCCAATAACAACATGGAACAAACATGATACAAAATCAAGTTACCTAACATATTCTTATCTTATTTGCTATAAATGTCAAAATAATGATAACATGTAACAATCATGACATCGAATCATAGTATATCAAAAAGGTATGAATGTAGATCAACTAGTCAAATCATGCAAGTAGAATAAGTAAGGGACAAGCAAGACATATAACTCAAAGTCAAATTTAATAAACACATCAAGATTAGGACTAAGAGTATGTTAATTAAACAAACAAAAATAAATAAACTTGAAAATTCAACAACAAAAGTAAAGAGTACTCTAGTACAATCAATGAATGAGTAAAAATATACACAAACTCTCATATGACCTAAACTAAGTCTCTAAAAGTAACAAGTCAAATGGTTGCATCTAGACCATCTCCTCCATCATAAAACATGTGAGGTTAGGAATAGGGCAGTTTGAGACACTGGTATTCAACTCTATATTCTACGTAGCTACGAGATTAAGCATTTTATATTCAGAGGTCAAGGATTTTGGTAGAATTTGAATGTTTCCTAGTGTTTAGGATGATCAGTGTCATACAGCTCAGTAAAACCTACATGGAGAAGAGGTAATAGATCTGCTAATCTCACACTAAGGTAATCGTTGTCTACCTAGGTAGGCCTAGTGTGGTAGCAAAGAGGTTTGCAGAGAAAAAGGAACTCAATACCTCTGATGTAAGTGGCAAAGTGATCAACATAAGGATCATGTTTGTTAATTTGAATATGACCATAGAATTCCCTAATAATGGTATCATTCGACGTCACGGGTTTGTTGAACATCCAAGGCCATCCACGATTGGTAAGATTAGTAACAATTGAACAAGTTACCTCCATGGCATTTATGCTTTGTTCGATCAACAATTCCCTACGAGAGAATTTTACTCTAAATCTCTCTACGAACTCTAATGTCTAGAATTGCGTAAGTTCATCAAAGTTCTACTCGACATCTTCATACACATTCTCAACCCTTGGCCTTGTCTCTCTTTTTGGGGCCATCTTGACTCTCTGAATTTAGGTCTCACTCATGTGTATTAGGAATAAAGCTGATGAATCAAACTAAGATCTATAGAGAATGTGTTTGGGAGAGACTTTCTAACCCTAACTACCGACTTACTTGATGTCGCTTAAGCAGTAATATGACTGATGGAGTGGTATCTAAAGTTGATGGATCATCATCAGTCCCTTGTTGGACCAATCTGGTCTTGACATTCACTCATCCATCCTATCCTTCTAGCCTTAAATGCATGGATGATGTATATACAATGTACATGCAATTCAATGCACATGCATGGATGAATTTGGATCAAAATTATACAATTTTCAATTTTAAACATTAACTGCTCAAAGTTCATAATCATGAAAATTACACAAATTTAGATTTTAATAGATCCATCCAAAAGTTATCGTTACAATACATTACTCTAATACATATTTAAGGATATAAAACTCAATTTCATGCGTCCTATAGTAATGTTTCCTCACTTAGTTCAATTCCACTCACACGTGTTCAAATTTTGTTCGACTTGAACAAATTCAAGTGTGACATGTGTGAAACCAAACTCCAACGCAAAAATAATTTTACTTAGTTTATATCATTAATAAGCTCAACATAAAATCCAAATGAATTGTCTAAGTGAATACATAACCGGTTAGTGAGAGTCCTAATAATTTTCATTTTGAAAACTCCTTGTTTCTTTTATCCCTTCTATTCAATGGCTACAATTAACACAATTGTGAATTTTGTATTAATTAATGTATGCTTCTATTCAAGATTAGCATGAGCTCTGTGAGTTTTACAAATAAAAAAATTTCATTCAAGCATAAGTACTCTCACAATTCAAGTACAACTATTTTTAGCCATTTATTTATGTCTCACTTTTTTAGAATTTGTCACATTTTACTCATTTCTCACAATTGGCCTTCGGCATCTTTTAAGGAATTGGAGTTTGACTAACCTTTACCTATGTGTTTAGCTATCACCAATACTTAGAGTTCATTAAGCTCATTAATAATTTAAACTAATCAAGCTCCTAAGTGTGAAAGTGAATGGTATGCATGTACTTAGTTTATTAATTTTTCAATAGCAAACTATATCCAAGCATGCTAGAATGAAAGATACTTTAACTAATGAATCATGCAATAAGATTTATGCAACTAAGTTTTCAATCCCATAATATGACCCATAGCAATACACATTTTGACTTTGCTTTAAGGATTAAATCATAACAATGCAAACCAAAGTCTGAACTACCATGATCATGAACAAAGAAAAAAAATAAAAGAAAATCCTTTTGACTTTTTATTTTCCATTTTTTTGTATTTTCATCTAGAAAATAAATAAAAATATGTATGAACGATGACCTTAGGGTGTTCGATAAAATTTATTAACAATCATCTAGGTGATAGACTACTATATTAAAAACTTATTTTTTGTAGTGAAACTCTTTTTATTAATAAATAAAAATTTGTTCTTTCAATTTTATTTAGAATCTATATGGGCAAAATTTTTGCATTATATTTAATATATAGTATGCATGTGTGTCTTATATTTTTCATTGTAGATAATCTGGTGTGTGGAGTTCGGCTTATGCACAGATGACCAGATTATTGGATACTTGCATAATATGAGAATATGGTAACAATCCTAGATAGAATTGGACACACCATCAATATGATTGTATTGTAATATTCTGGCATAGTTTGTCTTGACTATAGGAGACTATTTGATGTCTCGGATAATTGTAGTAGTACACTTTGTGTATTGAACAAACTCATGTTGAGGTTATTATCCTTTACTAATTTGATAAGATAATAAATACATCATGATTATTATAATTGCTTATGCTCTTAATCCCAAAATATTTAATTGTCTAGTGTATATAATGTTTGTCAATTTACTTCATCAAAGAGTGAGATTTATATTAAATTAATAAGCTCGATGAATTGGGAGACGATGTTATTTGCATGGTGAAAATTAATTATTAAAGGAAACCATGTCCTAAAATTTAAATGGGTTAATGATGTCTTCTTGAGGAAGCTCATAAGTTTTGTCCATGTCAAACCCTTCAGGTCTCAAAGAATAAAAGAAATCAATTATCCGACATGACAAATAAGTTGAGTTGTAAGGTCTCAAAGAATAAAAGAATTCAATTAAATATAATTGTTAGTGATTTATTTAATTGATGGACATTTGTAATCTTAAATGTGAGGAGATTATTAAGCACAAAATAATCAGGAGCTCAAATATAATTTTGAGATAAGGCTCAGGAGATCAATAATAAGTTTTTAGTGGACTGATTTATTATTAATGACCTATAGGATATTTGTTCTGGGTTGAACATAGGAATCCTAAGCCCAGTCCTTATTTCTCCTTAGAGTTTTTGTCATAGCCTATATATAGATATCTAAGCTCTCTAATTTAGCATGTATTCTTTACTCACTTTTTTAGAGAGGCTGAAAGAGACATCAGGGATTTGGAGGTCTTGGCAACCCATAAAGCATCCAAATTTTGACGTTGATGGATATACTACAGAAGGCCATAAGGTTCGTCGAGCTTTCCTTTGGTTGCTCGTTTTTATGTTCTGTGTTTGTGTTGAGACGAGATCTATCCCGAGGGATCTTGAAGATAAAATCTAATTCTGTCTTACAGGGTTTTAAAGGAAAATATTTGATATTCAATACATACACGCTATCAATGGCTCTTGGGATTTTCGTTCAAACATTAGGTCCATACACTCACATCTTCTACTTCTTAGGAGTCATTATCTTGTTAGAAGCACTCAGGGCCTCCAACTTAGTTGAGATGGTGAGTTTTTTAGTATCCTCCCTAGTCACCCATACTTGTTTTTCCTTCATAAAACTCGGGTTAGGCCGGGGAATGGGTGAAGGACTAACTCTCTTCTCCCCTGAAGTAAGTAAATCAATTTTAACCTTGAAAGTAGAAGAAGCTTTGGGCATTCTAGCAGGTGATCCATGTGAAGATGTTGCATGACCATGCTTGGACACACTTGACCTTTCTAAAAGCTTGAAAAGATTTACAACTTGGTTGTTCAAGACTTTAGATTGGTTAGCTAGATACATGAGCTTTCTGTCTGAGGCTTCCCTATTTTTAATGCATTGTGCACTATAGTCACCATGCTCTCCATAAGTAAAAATGCATAAATGATTTGGTTTAGGTAATGGCTTCTTCTCATGCTTACACTTATCATTCTTAATCTTTTTGAGACGTGTGCTTACTTGTGGGAGTGGAAGATTGGGATTATCCTTCACAAACACGGTCTTGGAGTTAATAGGGGTGGTGTTCTCCAACTTGATAGCATCATGACTATGAAATAGTTTTAGATTTACAATGAACTCTACAAAATTAGTCAATTACAAAATGTGATCTTACAAGGATTTTCATGGACCTCTGGTCCCAAACTAATCGACATATTCTTAAACCATAAAAAAAGGTTACACATGTGGTCCTTCCATCCCTTTTCCCTTTAAATGATAGGTGCTAAAGATGAAAAATTATCAATATGTAACAATTACATGAAGTTTTTAATGAACTTGAGCCATAAAATGTGGTAACTCCAAGGTGGAGCATTTCTAGAGGAAGACCATAAATTTTTGATATGGTGCAATTGGAAAAACTCTTATGGAGTTTGGATACTATTTTCAATAAAGACAAAGTTCTTCAAGAACTTGACCATAATAATGGTAGTGTAAATTCAAGCCCTTCAACTCTTTACAATTTTAAAATTGAGTCATCTTTTATTGTGAGATAGAACAAGGGAGATAGAGTCTTGTGCTGGTAACGTGTTATAAAACTAATGAAATACAGAGAGTGCAAAACATAAGAATATAGAGATATCAAAGAACAAGAAAAATATAGGATTTTTGAGATTTGATCTTTTCAAACTTGTGTACTTCTCGTTGTAGACAAGACTTCCTTTTATAGACCCTCAAATATAACGACCATCAAATATAATATTAAAATTGATATATTAATGGATATAGTAATAAGTCAATGTATTAATTAATATCCACTAATTTATATTTTTGTACTAACTGGTAGATTATGTTCATAATTGCATTGTTGTTCTCAAGAAAAAAAAATTGCTTTTTTGCTACTTTTCGTTTATTTTAGAATAGTTCAGCATGTTTGTGTTAAAAAAATAAAATTATTTTAGAGTTTATTATATTATTAAGGTGTGTTAATTTGGTGTGTGGTAATGGACAAAGAATATGCAAGTAGTGGAAGACAACAGTATTATTATGTGTTAAGTAATGGTGTCTTAATATTTTAAAAGTTACTAGACTTAGTGAGTTTAGTGGTGTACGAATGTAATTTTAGGAGTTCTATGTTTAAGCTATATAAATAGGACACATAGTATAGTGTTTGAAGTAAGTAGAGTTGAGTAAAAATTGAAGAGTCTAAGTTGAGTGTGTGCTTTGTAATCAAATTGAAAATTATTTTTCCATTGAGTGTTCATATTCTCCTCTGCTCCATCCATTTTATTTCTAGACCTCTTGAGTCCAACAAAATGGTATCAAAGTGATTTTTTAATTGGAGTAATTCAAACAAATTGGTTTCAGGGCCAGCTTTACAGTCGTAAAAATCTAGATAATTCTCTATCAGAGCTAGCTTTACGGTTTAGGAAGTCCAGATAACTTTCTATCAAAGTCAACTTTTGATCCTAGAAGTATAGATAACTCTTTTTTTAAAGCCAATACGATTCTTCAAGTCTTGATAGATCATCATGATTATAAAAATCATGAAAGATTCACCAAATATATATTTTTGGTATGAAAATGTTATGTTCTCTAATTACAAGAGAATGAAGGTTGCTCTTCCTTCTTATTTCAAAACATGTGATTTATAGGATGTGCTAGAAGAAAAGTCAAGAAGTGGCTTGCCTAGAAGAATCCAAGAGAAGAAAAAGAAAAAAGATGTTTGGAGTTCTTAAGAAGACAATTCATCTCAAGATTTGGAAGCTTGCAGAAGATTCAAGTTCTTCAAATCATGTGTTGGAAGTTTATTGGGAGTATTATCTCCAAACATGAAGGTGAATTTTTATCCAATGAGTATTCGATTTAATGCTTTGAAGAAGATAAGTATGTAAAAAGAGAGTGATTTTGAAGACATGCAGAGGATCAAGAAGAGCATCATCTTGATGAAGTGAAATAAGTCAAAAAAGTTACAGTTGATGTTCAAAAGACTAGAGAGGATGAAGAAAACTATGAAGTTGAAGAAGTAACTAAAAAAAATGGATGAAAAAGAAGTTTGTGAAGAAGTTGAAATGAAAGTGAAGGAAATTGAAGAAATGAAGATGAAATCAAAGATCTTATCATGACAAAAGATGGTGAGACAGAATCCTACGAATTAGTCTTGAAAAGATTTTTTTTCCAATGAAGCATGAAAGTGAACATCATCTTGACGGAATGTTCAAAAATAAGAGTCTAGATAATGATTTTCTTGAAAATTGCATGAATTATTACTTACAACTTGGTGTACAAAATATTTTAAGTTACACAGGTTGGGAGAATATGGAAGAATTTTTCGATTCAAGAGAGATGACACAAGACAAATTCAAGAAGTTTGAGTAAAGAGAAGGTCGATGCACAAGGGCAAAGAAGAAAATTGGAAAAATGAAAATGATTTGTAAGTGTCAGAAAATTGTCCTACGCTGCAAAGGAGAAGGATTTGAAGATTCTTGCAATTGAAGGAGGTGTTGTTTAAGTCCGAATTAGCAATAATTCCATGAAACCCTCTATCATGAATTGATTTGTAATAAAAGGACTTGGAGGTTTAAAATCATGTTTAAGGGGTAATGTTGAAAAATAAACTTATTTTAGAGTTTTATTATATTATTAAGGTGTGTTAATTTGGTGTGTGGTAATGGGTAAAGAATATGAAAATAGTGGAAGATAATAGTATTAGTAGGTGTTAATCCCCTAAGTAATGATGTCTTAATATTTTAGGAGTTACAAGAATTAGTGGATATAGTGGTATGTGAATGTAATGCTTTGAGTTATATAAATGACCTATATAAATAGTATTAGAAGACTTCATCGATTTCATGAGTCTAGGAGTTATCTTTATCTACAAAGATTGTTATCTCTTGCTTTAGTTGGTATTCTAATAGTTCTAGGAATGCATTTAGCTGATTGCATTCTATTTGGCATACTTATCTTGTAATCTATTGATCAGTATAGATAAGAACCATATGCATTGATCTCTCATTATCAAGAGAGGTCCATTTGATCCTTATTTAGTTGGTTTATTCTTCATGGTATCAGAGTCATGTTAGACTAACGTCTCATTCATTTGCCAATACGGCAGATTGCTTTGTCTACAAATTTCAGAATTTTTTTTTTTTTTTGCAACAATACTTCTTACCCGTGAACATGGCTAACTTATCCATTCTTCAATTTCTCCTCTCCAATATTCATACTCTCGTCACCATCAAACTTGACTCCACCAACTATAGAACTTAGAAAGCTCAGTTACATCATGTCCTTCGAGCCTATGGCTTCCTCGGCTATGTCAATGGCACTTCTCCTTGTCCAAATGCTATAGCCATTGGCTTGTCTGGCAAGGAAATTCCTAACCTAGAATTCCTTGAATGGTCCTAAGAAGATCGACATCTAGTGAGTGCCATTAATGTCACTCTCAGTCCCTCAATTCTACCCTATGTTATCCATTGCACATCCTCTCAAGATATTTTTTCTTGCTTGAACAGTGGGTTAATTCCCCATCTCGCTCACATATCATTCAAATGAAAACTGATTTGCAGAATTTCAAAAAGGGTACCCTATCTATGAAAGATTATCTCGACAAGATTCACTTTTTTGTTGATAATCTTGTTGTTGCTTCTGCCTTTGTCAATGACGAAGATGTTGTTCTTTTCACATTAAATGACTTTCCGTGTGAGTATAGTTCAGTTAAAACATCCATTTGAACCTATCCATCACCAATTTCTATGAGTGATCTTTTTATTCTGCTTTCTAGTAAGGAAATTTGTCTTGCCCTTGAATCTTCTGAACCTACCAGTGAGGTTACTACAGCCTTTCAAGAAACTAAAAGTGATGCTACTACTTGATAGACTGGTTTTTCTAATGGTGGTCGTGGTTTCCACCGAGGAGGTCATTTCAATTATAATTCCAACTTTTCTTGTGGCTGTCCTAGTAGAGGATGAGGTCGCAGCCAACGTGGTCATGGTGGACACCAGTAGCATGGTCCCTCTTATTCTCACCCAGTTAGTCAAATTTGTGGTTGCTTTAACCACACGGTTGCCCAATGTTGGTATCGCATGGACCCATCATATCAAGACCCTTCTCAATCCCTACCTACAGCCTTCCTTGTCTCTAACCCGACCCTATTTTATTCTCACTGGTATATTGATTCTAGGGCTTACCATCACATTACATTTGATGTGTCGAACCTCTCCCTCCATTCTCCTTATCTCGGCAATGATAAAGTAACAATCAACAATGGTAATTCCTTACCAATTCAACATGTTGGCACCGGTTTGATCTCTACACCTACCACTCATTTTCTTTTAAACAATGTCCTCCATGCACCTCATATTTCTTCTAATCTTCTCTATGTCCACAAATTTGCACATCTTAACAACTATATTCTTTCTTTTGACTCCTTTGGTTTTNCACAATGTCCTCCATGCACCTCATATTTCTTCTAATCTTCTCTATGTCCACTATATTCTTTCTTTTGACTCCTTTGGTTTTGTTGTTCAAGACAAAGTAACCAAGAAAATTTTACTTCAGGGAGCCAGTCATAATGGTCTCTACCCACTTCGTTCTTCGCCTTCTACTTCCTCATATGTTTTTCACACTTCGAAGACTTCATCGACCATTTGGCATAACCAGCTTGGCCATCCTTCAATTTCTACTTTACGTTTGTTATTTAGTCGTCATAATATTCCTATTTCTGATCGTAGTTCTTTTCATTGTGAACATTGTAATGTTGGAAAAAGTCATAAACTATCGTTTCCTACATCTTTTTCTTTTGTTCATGCTCCTTTAGATTTAATTCATGCTGATGTTTGGGGACCATCCCCATTGCCATTTATT